GCATTTTGCTTTCTGAGCTTAAGCAAAAGGTAAAGCTTCTTCTGCAAATCTACCAAAGCTCATGAGAGAGAGGGAGAGTAATGAGAGAGATATGGGAAAGGCAGGTTTTGAAGCACAAGATGAGAGAGAGAGAGAGAGAGAGAGAGAGAGAGAGAGAGAGAGAGGGACCCACAGTTGCAGTTGTATCTCTCTGGCATTTATCGCTCTACACAGTTTTATGACCAAAAAAAAAGGTCGCTCTACACAGTTTCACAGTAATGACGAACGAGAAAGACAGTTCCGCTCGTGGGAGAGGTTTTCTGAATTGCCACGCGCCCGTATAGGCGACTAGTAATTTTGTAAGAAAGACAGCCCCACGACCAAGATATTTTTCACTTTCTCTCACTTGTCTGTGGAGAGCGAGATAAAATAAAATATCAAAAATGATAAAAATATGACTACACCACTTACTCTTCGAATTTTGTGAAATTTATACAATTTTTTTTGAAAATGCTAGCAACCTTCTTTTTTGGAGTTTCTTCATTTTCTTTATGACATGTGTCACTCTTTATACTTAAAACAATGTCATTAATGTATCTTACAAACTATCTTTTGTTTTCCAAATTTACGCTTATTAAATGTATTAAATTTTATGTTTCCTTTAATTTATCCAAAAAAATTTAATAACTTTCTTATCACCTTATTTAATAAAAGGGTTATTCGCAACAATGGTCACTCAACTATTTTTGTAGTTATAGTTTGGTCACTCAATTCAATTATTAGTTGCAAAAGTCACTCAAGTAGGTGTTTTGTTGCACCATTAGTCCTTCCGTCAAGTTTGTGACTTTTTTGGTTAAAAATGAGGGTAAATTCGAAAATTCATCCACAACCTTTAATCTTGGGGATTGAAGCATTTGTGCTATGAATCACTCTGGCAGAGTTATACACATTATCAAGGCCAACTTCCCGGCTAGCCTCTCCATCTTGATACTTGATCCGGACACCAAAATACACCATTTTCGACCCCAAATTCGGTTCCAAATACTCATCATCAGTAACCTAAGTCCTCCATAAAGAATCATTAAACGGCATCACTTTAGAACCCCCCACATTGACCCTATGCACAACTTGAAGCGCTTACTTAGCTAACCCATTCAAATCCTCAACTTTATCAGAACTCACAAACTTTGCCATATCAACAACAAGGTCCTTAGGCGCAGATATAACCTCAATCGCATTCACAAACGCAAAGTTTGATTTTTTAGAAGGAACAAACTCAATTATAAGCTTTCCGGTTGTAGGGGACTTTTTTTTCCGGTGGCTGTAAATGGGCTGGACTGCCGTAAAAGGCAGATTGATGAAATTGTCCCCTGTGTCTGGGTTCGAAAATCAAGCCCCAAAAATGCTTCGAAAGGGCAGTAGAGCCTTAGGAAGCATGTTGGTTATCTTCACCAATTGAAACAACAACTTACAAATGATTTCTTAATGCTTACAGATAAATTTTCTAGCTTGGCATGAGAGGCTTGTGGCATGGAAGCAAAATCAGCATGAGTTTAGCACTTAAAAGGAAATTATGATTTCTTGGGGAAAAAGGGGAGTGTTAAGGTAAGACAAAAAAGGTTTGCAAGAAGATTTGGTTGAGAAGAGAAAAAGAAAGAACAATGTTCTTCCGGCAGCTTGATAGAAATTTTGTCAGATATGAAAGTGGTATGCTAGAAGAGGAAAAATAGGGAAGAAGGGTAAATAGTGCATGAAATTGTTGGGTTTTGCAAGTAAGAGAGGAAGCTTGCTCTCTGGATGTGGGTTGGTCTTGTTGGGTAGAAGAAACCTCATTTTATAGCCGTTGGAAACCATCTCTTCCCAAGAAACCCTAATGATTTCTTCCCAACTTGGCCAAGCTTTTCCTTCCTCTCTCCTCTCCTCCCTTAACTTTTTCTATCTTGGTGAAATTTCCTCTATCTATTTGCACAAAATCAGGAATTTTGGGAGCTCAAGGCCCCATTTCCCGCAGTTGTTCAATAGGAGGCTTCATTCTTAACTATTTTTCTTTTTCTTTCTTTCCTCATTCCCTGGCCAGATCTAATGAAGGAAAGCAAATGGGTGTACATGATGGTTTGAAGGGTGCTCCTTCTCCTGGCAGCTTACGTGCTAATATCCCTTGGTTTTGAATGTTTTTTGCTTTGAAACTTGTTCCCCCCATGTGCTGGAATCTCCCAACAGCTTTGTTCAATAAACTTTCAGATCTCCTCTTCGTGGCTTTTATTCTTCCAGCCAGGTGCTGGGGCCTTTGTGGCTCATTTGTGGCAATTGCATGGGCCAAGGTGGTTCATTAAGTAAGTGGGCTATTTCTATTAAATGTTGGGCTTTTTGGTTGAGTCAATAGGCTACTTTGATTGGGCTATTGGGCTATTTTGTCCTCTTTTGTGCTCACCCACATGTTTGGGCCTAAGAAATGAGCTTGAGTCCCGAGGCTCTCAAGCAACCCGAGACTTTCCATTTCTTGGCCCATCAATGGGCCTCATGTTGATTTATTACCATCCATACCACAACCCACTCAAGCAAGCCCTGAGTATTTAAGTGGCTTGGGGCCCACTTAAGCTTGTGGCGTGATGGGGTGCGGAATAATAATTCCTTACTTGGCGTGACATGTCACTTGGCGTGCTTCAATTTTATCGTCCTTGAAGAGGGACACAGTGCTTAGTTTAGCATGGGTTTGTATTTTATAATATTATTTCAATCCTTGGCATGACAAATTATTTATTTAGCATGGCACATGGACTATGACTTGTATATGACAAGCCTTCGTGTACTCTGATATGTGACTTTTCTTAATACAGTATTGTATTGGACCGAAAACTTATTTGGGCCCAACCATGGACTTTTTTGGGCCTCAACACCGGTACTAACCCAGATTAAGAACTTCATAACCATAGGGCTTTCTACACCCCCAACTCTAAAGTCAGCCAAATCCACAAACCTATTAACCAATACATGAAATTGAGTGTTGTTCCAATCGAATTGCAAAGAATTAAAGGTCTGAAAATGGAGGCATACCATGTGGGTCCCTTCGTCCCAGATTTGGAACTTGTACTTGGAAGGTCACCTGAAAGCCCTATCTGTGCTGTAGATTTAGGGCGAATTAGGAGGTGGGTTTTCATTTATGAGTGTGATGGAGCTGGTAGAGGAGGACAAAGATGAGTCGCGCTTGGCCGAGTCAGGAACGAATAGGCGATTGTCGACGGTGGAGCCCATGGTGGACTTGCAGTCGATAAGGAAGTTGTCTACGGGGGAGAAGGAGGAGTGAGAGGGCTGAAAAATGAATTTTCGAATTTACCCTCATTTTTGACAGAAAATTTAACAAAGTTTGACAGATGGACTAATGGTGCAACAAAACACCTACTTAAGTAACCTCTGCAACTAATAGTTGAATTTAGTGACCAAATTGTAACTACAAGTATAGTTGAGGGACCATTGCTACGAATAGTAAACTTGAAAGAAAATATAATAAAGCCCATAATTTTTTTGCACATAACAATTTTGAAAGAAAAACGTCACTTCAAATACCATAACCAAGTAAATAGCAAAAAAATGACGTTTTTTCTTATTTAATTTTTTAATAAGGTGGTAAGGAAGTTATGAAGAAAAAAAATTTGGATAAGTTGAAAGAAACATGAAAGTCAATACATATAATAAGGGTAAATTTGGAAAACAAAAGATAGCTTGTATGATGCATTAATGACATAGTTTTAAATGTAAGGAGAATGACATGTCATGAGGAAAAGGGATAAGGTCTAAAAGAGAAGGTTGCTAGCATTTCCCCTTTTTTTTTCCTTGAAGATAGTGAAACTTATACACTTGGGCCCGTTGGATTACATTTTCGAATGCCTTTTTTCATTTTCTAGATTGAAAATGACTTAAATTCACGTTCGGTTGGCTATGTAGGAAAACACGAAAAACGATTTGCATTTTCAGTATTTACTCTTTAGGTTGAAAAATGCCAAAAAGACATTTTCATTCTTCCAAATTCTGATTTAGAAAATACGGAAAGATCTCTAGCAAAACAGAAAAACATGCGAATTCTTTTCACTTTCTCTTTTCACATCGTCAATATTCTTTGGTGCAATTGCAAATTTTACAAATTGAGAACTTTCTCTAGACACGTTTTCACTGGGTTTTGTTTTTCGAAATTGTTTTCCAATTAAGCTACTAGACTCATTCTCTAATCTTGAAAATGCAAATCCATTTTCTCTTTTTAATTTTTTGAAAACATTATCTGAAAACGTTACCAGACGGGCCCTTAAGTATTTGTAATTTGTTTTCAAGGCTTGTACTATGTAGATCAAAAGTATTGATCTTTATCGCATGAGTTTAGTATTCCTTCAATTGAAAGTCCAATATTTCACTAGAAAATGAGTTTTTGAATTATTATGAAAAAAAATCTAGAGCGCATGATGTTTTTCAAAGTTTGATAATACTTAAAAGGTATTATGGTAATTTATAATTTTAAGATTCGTGGGTATAGAGCCCACTATTGTGGGAAAGATACTTTTAGAGCGCATAATATTTTACCGGAGCTCTAAATGGGGCTCTATCCACTATTTTAGAGCCCAATTTAGGAATTGTGATTGAGGATGCCTAAGAGTAATAATTTCTAAATCTGTGATCAATTGTATTTTAGTTCTTGAACAAAATGACTTACATAAAGGGGAGAGCAACTTTAATAAAAGGCTTTTTATCACAAAACGTCCCTAACGTTTGCGAAACAATCAGATTGCATCCTTAAAGTTTTTTTGTATCACTCGTGGTCCCTAACGTTAATATGGGTGCTCTTAAATGGTCCCTCTGTCAAAAAAATCATTAAATCCCCAAATTTATGAGGGATAAAATCGTCAGATCCCTTTTACCTCTCATGCTTCAAATATGTTTCCTCAAGGTCGTCGTCAACATCATCAGACCTATTTCTACCCTTATTTCTAGGAAATTGGGAGATAAAGTTCATCTGCAAAAGCGATTGAGAGAAGATGGATGAGGCAAATGAAACCTATCGAAAAGGAGGAAAGGCTCCAACGTATAAAGGTAATAATCTTTTGAAGAATGAAAAAAGCAAAGTGTTCATATTTGACTAGTTTGAGTCTTATTTGACTATTTGCTTCTGATGAGGATTTTTATGCTTTAACCTATGGCTTTATGCTTTGGGTGTGGTCCATATTTGACTAGTTTATGTCATATTCAAATATGGGGGTTTGTTTATTGTTTTGTTGCTTTGGTAATTTGGCTGTTGTCAGTGTGTGATTGTGGTTTGTCATATATGGTTTGTTTTCATGCGGTTGGTGTATGTATTTATTATAGAAAAGCTTTGAAATAGGTAATGAAGGAAAAAAACAGACTTCAATTCTTAGGATTAATTAAGTGTTTTTTCTGGCAGATCCTGACAAGCTTACTCTTGAGATTCACTATGGAAGTACATTGATGCAAGTAGCTGTCGGAAAAGGGGATGAATATTGTGGAGGGGAGGTTGTGTTTCTTGACAATATAGATGGAGATAAATTATCGTGGATTGAGCTAGTTAGGATTGCAAAAGAAATAGGTTATACAGGGGAGAACATATGTTTTTACTACAAGTTGTCTCGTGATAAGGATTACAGATTAATAGGTAATGATGAAAATGTGTTGCAGATGGTTGCAGAAAGGCCTAACAGCAAAATTATCCATCTATATGTTGTTTCATTTGATGTGGCACTTTATGAGTTGTCATGGCAAGGTCAGCATGGGGATTTACTAAGTGAAACAGCAAGTGGCACCTACAAAGAAGCTAAAGGTCAAAAAGGGGAATATGAAGGGCAAAATGAGGGACAAGATGGGAATGGTACAAAAAATGGAGAAGTTAATATGCAGGAAGAAAAGGAAAGAGCTGGGAATGCTAGTGAAAATGAAGAGAGTGATGAAGAAGATGATAAGGAGTTCATAGATAGTGACTATGAGCAAGATACAGATGCAGAAGAGGTGGAGATTGATGATGCAATGTTTGAGGAGTACATTGACAATCTAATTGAAGAAGAGCCTGAAGAAATGGGTTATGCAAGGGAGATTTCAGATGATGTCCATAATTCAGAAGATCTTCATAGCAAACAAGACAATGATGACGAGTGTGATGAGAATGGTGAAGTCACCAGCAATAGGAGGAAAAGAAATGTTCCAAACTTCAATGGAGGAGAGAAGCTATGCTAAAAAATCCAACCTTTGATATTGGCATGCACTTTGCCAACAAAACAGTATTTAAAGAGGCCGTGCAACACTATACTTGCATGGTAGGGAAGAACATATGGTTTAAAAGGGATGACAAACAAAGAGTAAGGGCTGCATGTGAGGTGGGCTACCCTTTTGTGATATTTGCTTTGAGAATTGATGGCTCACCAACAATGGTCATCAAAACCTTGAATTTGGAGCATGAGTGTTCAAGGGATCAGAGAAAATATTGGCTGAATTCTACTTTTTTTGCTCAAAGGTATGCAAATGAGTTAAGGGCTGATCCGGATTGGTCAGTTCCTGGATTTACAGCTGCAATTCAGAGAGATTTTGGCTTGGAGCCGAGTATGCAACAAATATATAGAGCTAAGTTGAAGGCAACGAAGTTAAACAAAGGTAGTTTTGTTGAGCAATTCCACACGATTACTGTGAGGAATTGAAGAGGGCAAATCCAGGGAGCACAGTTTTGCTTAAAACTGAGATGGATGGTGATCAAAGAAGGTTTCATAGGCTGTATATTTGTTTGGAAGCATGCAAGACTGGATTTTTGCAAGGTTGTAGGCCTGTAATTGGTATGGATGGGTGTTTCATTAAGGGACCACATCCTGGTCAGTTATTGGCAGCAGTGGGGATTGATTGGAACAATGGAATGTTCTCGCTAGCTTATGCTGTTGTAGAGATAGAGAATAAAGAGACATGGGAGTGGTTCATAAGAAATTTGATTACGGACTTAGCCATTGAAAATGACATGGTTATGCTTTCATTTCAGATAAACAAAAGGGTTTAGGACTTGCCTTTGGTGATTTACTTCCCAATGCAGGACATAGGCATTGTGTCCGTCATTTTTACAACAATTTCAAGACTTTACATAATGGCCTGACATTGAAACAAATTATGTGGATGCAGCTAGGGCAACAACAATCCTTTGGTGGCAATGCCATATGGAGAGGATGAAGCAAGAGAGTGAAGTTGTTTGGAAGTGGTTGCACCCAAAGTCTGCAATTCATTGGAGTATATCACACTTTAGAACCCAGTATAAGTGTGACATTTTGCTAAATAATCTTTGTGAGGCTTTCAATTCTTCAATATTAAAGGCAAGGGACAAGCCAATTCTGTCAATGCTTGAGGGTATAAGGACAAATCTCATGGTGAGGATGGCAAACATGAGGGTTGTAGCTTGGAAGTGGAAAAGGCATGTCGGTCCAAGGATTGAACAAATTATGAAGAAGAACAAGCTGGAGGTTGGTTATTGTATTCCTACTTTGTTTGGGGATATGAAGTATCAAGTCACAAATATGCATGATGGGCAATTTGCGGTGGATCTTGCAATAAAAACATGCTCATGTAGGAGATGGGATCGTTGTGGGCTCCCATGTTCACATGCAATCAGTTGCATTCTTAGAAGGAAGCATGACCCTTTCTCATATGTAGATGAGTGCTACAAAAGGGAAGCTTATCTTAAGAGTTATAACCCTATTATTTCTCCAATGCCTAGTATGGATTAGTGGCTAAGCATTGGTCCTTACCCATTGTTGCCTCCTCTATTTAAGAAGCAAACTAGGAGGCCAAGAAAGAAAAGGGCTAGGGAGCAAGGTGATCCACCAGCTGCAACCAAAGGAAACAAACTATCTAAGTGGGTTCATGACAAATTTAGTTGCAGCAAATGTAGCCAAGCTGGCCATAATAAGAAAACATGTGGCAAATCAACAAGTCAACAGGTATATTATATTCTTACTTCAAGGAATTATATTATTCATTTTCTTATTGATTAATTACTAAAATTCTTCATATGCTTTGCAGCCTCCAAGTGTACAAGTGGTCCCTAAACCTAGACAAAGGAAACCAAAACTTAAGGTTTTACAAAATTGTTGTGTTGGGATTAAAATGGTTCTAATTATTGTATTATAGTTTGACTTTAATTGTTGTTTAGGTGGCAAGAGGAGGGAGGAAAATGCAGCAATCAAGGTCAAACTCTAATGCTCCAGCGGGAACAAGTATTTCACAACCTTCTCTAGTAGTTGTCATGTTTTCACAACCCTCTCCAACACCTCAAGTGGCATCACAACCTCCTATTGCACACAATTCTTTATCCCAGCAAGCCTCAACATCACAAACTGTCCAAAGAAGGAAATTAAAGTCTCCAGCAAAGAAATGAAGGCCATGAAGAGTTTGAGATGTTGTTTTATGGAACTGTAATTGGAAGTGGTCTAAGGTTTTTGATGTATGATATTGTTTTTTTTTATGGAAGCTTTCTAAGGGTTAAAGTGATGGAACTAAAAGTGGTTTTTTATGGAAGTGGTCTAGGATTTTTGCATGTATGGAAGTGATTTTTGATGGAAGTCATGTAGGGGTTAATGTGATGGAACTGAATGTGGTTGATGATGTAATTGAATGTGATTTTTTATATATGGAAGTGGTTTTTGATGTATGCAGTTGGTTCAATTTGTTCATAGTGGTTGATAGTTTAGTTCATTCAATTTGTTCAACGTGTGTTGTTTATAGTCCAATTTGTTCCTTTCCATTTTCAATGCCTTAGTTGCTCGCCAATTCCATGTGAAAATGAATTGCAGTTTTAGTTGCCCGCCAATTCCAACAAAAAATGGAGGGAAATGGTTCTAAATTGGTGGCAAATGGGTCTAAGGCATTGAAGAGGTCAAAAGAGATTGATTTGACGATTATATCCCTCATCAAATAGGGACTTAACAGTTTTTTTAATGGAGGGACTATTTAAGAGCACCCATAATAACGTTAGGGACCATGAGTGATAAAAAAAAACCTTAAGGATGCAATATAATAGTTTCGCAAACGTCAGGGATGTTTTGTGATAAAAAGCTTTAATAAAATATGAAGGGAAAATTAGGTGTAGGGATTTCTAAAATCCTATTAAGCTATGAGAGAACAAATCATCTAGCCTATGCATATCAAATATAACATCAAATAAAGCGGAAGCAAGAAAATAGCTAGAGATTCATGCAAGTCTCAACTTAGGTCCAAATCTTTATAGGTTTATGAAAGTTTGCACCATTGACACTAATATCACATATTAAAGAGAAGGTAGAAAGTGAGGTTACCTTTGGAGTGTATCTTGAATCCAAGAATGGTATTCTCCACTTTGTTCTCCAAATAGGCACAAGGAGGTTATGCCTCCCCAAAGGTAGAATGAGAATGAGAGAATAAAGAACCAAGAGAAGAAAAATGGATGCTAGCCTTTTATTTTCTACGGTGGCCGGCCAAGGGAGACTAGAGAGGGAGGTTTCATGTTTCCTCTCTTCATAAATGCCAAACTTGAAAACCATAAAGAAGTGTACTAGTCTTTGCGGATTACCATTGTCCAATTGGTGATCCTATGACAAGGAACAGTTTAGGATTCGATATTACTATGATGGAAAGGTCTCGCGAATCTAACTTCTTTAGACTGCTTTCCATTAATATCTTTATCCATGGACTTCTTACTTTATGTACATTATGTATCTTAGAATAACATTCATATTGGCTTCCAGGGCATATATTCCATTTTTATATTGGCTTCTAGAGCACACATTTAGTCTCCCACTTGCATGTAAAGCCAATCTTCCAGGGCATAAACGATATGTTCTAGGCTTTTGTAATCTATGCTATATCAGCTTTCTTTGCAACTTAGAGACAATCGATGTCATAAGTTACTAGCTCATTTATGTAACGTCTTCTCTTAATTTTGGATGCTTGATGAGACTTGAGTTCCTTGGCTTGAGCTATTGCTTCTTGAGAATTTCTCTTGCTTTAAGAGTATTGATCTTTCATGGTAAGAACTACTCCTATAAATGATTTTTACTTTTCATCCAAAAAGGGTGTTGACATATCAACTTGTGTTGCATAGACATGTACTGCTATTGGTCGTGAACCATTTAGTGTTACAACGTCCAAGATTATCTAGAATGACTTTCTAGAGTTAGTTCCCATACTATTAGGATCCGATTAGAGCTCATTCAGGTATATGCTTCCACTCTGATGCGCTAATACTATCCCTCTTCGCTTATTTTGCCTTTTGTCTATTTATGTTCTTATAATTCAAAAGACATGCTTTATTAGTTGTCCAGGGTTTTGATCCTGGGATATTATAATGTTGTCCATAATATACGTTTGTATTAAGTGCAACTTATTTTGCAGTATCTTGGTCATATCATATATGATCGCATACTTATTGATAAGCATATGACCATTTCTAAAATTCTTCTTCAATATATTATTTATCTTGTATGTTATTCATCTTATATGAATAATCCAGCTCCTTGATTGAAGTTCATACTTCATGTCATCATATGATTTAATTATGATCAAGAAAATTACTTTTTAACTTTCACCATTGCTACGTGGTTGGTGTATCACACCATTGATCAACTTCTTGGAACTTTAAAATGTGGTGAGTTGATAAAAGTAGTTGAATTGTCACTTTGTTTGATAATTCACTTATGGTTTGTAATAATTCAATTTACTTGTTTTGCAACAAGTATCTATTAACTTCTTTAATAGATATGACAACTTTTAGGTGATCTAGGATGTCCCATAAGATTCATTTATCAAATTATAAGGTTCTAAACTTTACGTTTGAGATAACAATTTCAACTATCATTGTTGTTCAATTTGACCTTTCAATATTGTTATCCTTTGGGTATGGCATGAGGAGGAATTTTAATGACTTATCATAAAAAATTATACTTTATTTACCCTTTAAAGCTCTTTAACCTTTTAAAAGATTTATTGTTCAAGCATTCATTTATAACATATAAAAGAGTGTTGATGCCCGCTATGTATTTCCCTTTTCTTTGCTTTCTTGAAATCCTAAACCTTTTAGATTTCGGACTAGGCTTTAGTCCGATCGAGAGCGATCATTAGTCATTCTATAGAAAGGATAATGGATACAATTCTATTATAACTTAGATATATCTTAAACAAATTATATGATTTCTATTATAGTTCTAAACTTTAGAGTGTTTGGATTTCTCAATCTTTACATGCAACTTATAGGCAAGAATTGGAACATTTTTGTAACACCCCGACGCAACAAATTGTTTCTAATTAATTATTTCATTGTGTAATTATATTTTTGCCCTTAGGAGTATGGACACTTTAGTCATTTTTTTTTAGAAAGGAATTTGGGGAATTGAGTAGCACCATTGCGTAGAGCTCGTTAATGCGAGTTCGCAGCCAGTCGGCATGCTCAATTCCGATTTAAAATGAAGAAGTTATAATCTACGTAAGTGCAATGACACAACTGTAAATATTGCGAAATTCCAATTTAAGTAACAGATCATATTCTTTTTTATGGAATTTCTCTCTCTCCTCACTCGCGTGACCCTCTCCTCCTTTGCGAAACAGACCGACCTGTTTTGCCGACGTTTTCTCCTCCGTCCGGTACGGCTGGCGACGACTGACCCACAAAACGTTTGTCTCTTTCTACTCTACATGCCCATACCCATTTCCACCTTCAAAACTCTAAGATTGGTCGTGATTTTGGACTAGAACCGAGCGAAAACCTCATTTCATCACTAGCGATGTTTGTATGATTTTCGACGATTATGGTGGCCAAAATTGCCAAACCACTTATGAAACTACATCCTCTCATCGTGCTCTACATATTTATGTGCTTGATTTGGGTTAATTTGAGGTTTTATAGATCAATTTCTAACCCCTCCTCCCAAAATTATACCAACGGTTTCAAATTTGTTCCGGCTTGTTTTGGTCAGTTTTTGGCAGTGGTCCAAGAACAAAAAATGCTCCCCTAGTTGTGCTTGATCTGTTGGTATAGGTATTGTAGGGTGTTTCGAAAAATTTCCGTCGTCGGAAATTTCTCAAGACACCCGCTCGCTACTGGCAGAGGATGGTGTGGGCCACTGTGTGTTGGCCCATTATGTTCTAAAACACTCCCAATGTTGTCCTGAGCATGACTGTATGCTCAGATTTGGAACTGGTTGTCATTTGACTATTGAACGGATATTGCACCTATTATGCGATATCCAGGTTAGATAGGTTCAGACCGTTCGATCGATTCCAATTTCAATTATGTTGTTCATGGTACCACTAGGATCGTGAAGGAACTTTCAAATCGGAAATTGGAGGTCGTGGGCCTTGCATGCCCAATTGACCAATATGGAAAGTTTGACCGCTAAGTTGACCATGAGTCTTCCGAGACTGTCTCATTCTTCGAGAAGTACTAGAATGACTCTATAAACCTTCTTAAAGGTTGTGCACACTTCGAGACCCTTGAACTAAAGTTTTGAATTAAAGTTCGTTGTTGGGTACATTTGTTAATTAAGACCGTTTATTCTCTCGGATAGGTACCCACACTTTGCATACTCCAGAGGAAGAGCCCTCTCAGAGTTGAGCAACATTGAACTTGTTGTGAATGGACTTTGTTTTCAAATGAATATTATTTTCATATTGGCAAGTGTATGCATAATTGTGTTTTGGTCAGATTTGAAATGTGATCATGGTATTTTCACGGATTATTATTTATTTATTTATTATTAAAGCATATATGGTGCCAGCAGAAGAACCTCATCAGAGAAATAGAAAGAGGCAATTTAGAAATCCTGGAAGAATTTGTTGAACTGTGGCAGATTCAAAATTCAAGTCCATCACTTCTCAATCAATAACTTATTTCATTCATCACCCCCTGATCTCCTTCTTTCTTTCTTTTTATGGGGTTAAAAGATGGATTCATTCAACCGTCACAAAGGTAACGCAAAGCCAGCAATACAATGAGAAAGAGAGGCATCAGCTGAGAACATTTGCTTTTATTACTGAATATTGGGGGTTGTGTTCACCTAATTTTACTTTGCCTCAACTTTCTAGATCTATTTTCCACATTATGTTATCAAATTTTTGTGTTAAGAAAAATACCAAATCTGAGTGCAACACCTCCATAGCTTCTTTGCCTTAGCATTTCATCTCTTGTTCAATTGTGGATGGTGAAGTTTTCCGAGAAATGTGGAGACTACAATAATAGGGTTGTGCAATCGGTTAATCAATTGCTTATTCTTTTTGTCATTACAGGCATATCCAAATGAAAAATTCAAAGCCACTTGACATTTTCTAATTGGTCTTATTATTTTATAATTGGTTCTTAGTGTGTTAAATTTTTTCTAAAATCAATTAGAAAATGACAAATAGCTAATTTTGAATTTTTACCTGCAAATGGACTCTATATAGGTACTATAATATATCATGCTAAAATGAGCTTATTGCTAAAAAACCTAAAAATAAATGAAGCAACAAAAAAGTTGGAGAAGAAGAGCTTAACGACGTCAAAATAACACTAAGACTTAGGTGGCTGATGTGGCCTGTTTTCAGCCATAGGATTGCAACATTGAAATCCAGCCCTTGATATTTTCGTGAGATCAGTCTAAATACACTGTTTTTTTATATGAAAAATACACTTTGTGTTTTGAAGCTAATATCCTATCCCAAAAAAATACTTATCCCATAGTCTGACGCAGGTTTTCTGGTTGGCATTTCTCTTTCCAATCTCATGGGTAAGATTGAAATCCACTCAGCACACTTCTTTTTCCTGCCTCAACAATCAAACAATTGCAAATATTCAAACGCTTTTGACTCAAAATCCCCAACTGGGTTTCACAAGTTAAGATTATTAGTGCACACCCAATTCTTAATAATTGTTACTTCTTTGCCGATTTGATTGGAGGACCCAGGAGCCTTTCTTTGTTTGGAGGGTATCAATGTGGATCTATGTTGGGCAAAATCTATTGGCTTAACATGGAGCACATGCCCAGATGACAGGGGCACCAGTCCTTAACCAAAACCATCTCTTTTTACCTTCCAAAACTCCACTAGGATGCCTAGAAACGAGTTCAAGGTCGAAGGAGCAAGAAAGCTTGTCACTGTTGAAGAGATGCAGGAACATGGAAGAATTGAAGCAAGTTCATGCTCATATTCTCAAGTTGGGCCACTTTTGTGATTCTTTTTGTGCAGGAAATCTTGTGGCCACTTCTGCTCTATCAGCTTGGGGAAGCATGGACCATGCCTGCTCAATTTTCCAACAAATCAATGAACCTGGAACCTTTGTATGCAACACTATGATTAAAGGACATGTCAAGGCTATGAACTGGGATAAAGCTTTGCTTCTTTACTGTGAAATGCTGGAGACAGGAGTTGAACCTGACAATTTCACTTATCCAGTTCTGCTCAAGGCCTGTGCTTGGTTACTGGCAATTGAGGAAGGGATGCAAATTCATGGTCATATTTTAAAGCTTGGGCTCGAAAATGATGTGTTTGTGCAGAATAGTTTGATCAGCATGTATGGAAAGTGTGGAGAGCTAGAACTTTCTTGCACTGTTTTTGAGCAAATGGATCAAAAGAGTGTTGCTTCTTGGAGTGCCATCATTGCAGCTCATGCTAATTTGGGTATGTGGTGTGAGTGTCTGATGCTTTTTGGGGATATGAGAAGGGAGGGTTGGAGGGCTGAAGAAAGCACATTAGTCAGTGTACTCTCTGCTTGCACTCATTTGGGTGCACTTGATTTGGGAAGGTGCAGCCACGGATCTTTGTTGAGAAATATTAGTGCACTCAATGTAATAGTACAGACTTCCTTGATAGACATGTATGCTAAATGTGGGTGCCTAGAGAAAGGGTTGTGTCTGTTCCAGAAGATGAACAAGAAGAACCAATTATCTTATACTGTGATGATCTCTGGGCTTGCTGTCCATGGGCATGGCAGGAAAGCTCTCGAGCTTTTCTCGGCGATGCTCCAGGAAGGTTTGGCACCTGATGCAGTTGCTCATTTGGGTGTCTTAAGTGCCTGCAATCATGCAGGCCTAGTAGATGAGGGTCTCCGGTGTTTCAATAGGATGAAAGGCGAACATAAAATTCAACCTACAGTTCAACACTATGGTTGCCTAGTAGACCTTATGGGCAGAGCAGGAATGCTCAAGGAAGCATTGCAGCTCATTACTAGCATGCCTGTTAGGCCAAACGACGTCATATGGCGAAGCCTTCTTAGCGCTTGCAGAGTTCACAAAAACCTGGAAATAGGGGAGATTGCAGCTAACATGCTATTCCAATTGAATTCCCAAAACCCTAGCGATTATGTGGTGCTATCAAATATGTATGCACAAGCGCAAAGGTGGGACAACATGGCTAGAACAAGAACAGAAATGGCTTCCAAGGGCTTGACACAGACACCTGGAATTAGCTTGGTAGAGGTGAAGAGAAGAGTCTACAAGTTTGTTTCACAGTCACACCACCAATGCGACGGTGTCTGCAAGATGGTACACCAGATGGAATGGCAACTGAGATTCGAAGGCTATTCAGCTGACACATCTCAAGTATTGCTTGATGTAGATGAAGAAGAGAAGAGAGAGAGGTTGAAATACCATAGTCAGAAGTTAGCAATTGCTTTTGCTCTCATACATACATCTCAGGGGTCTCCCATAAGAATAGTTCGCAATCTCAGGATGTGTAGTGATTGTCACACGTACACTAAATTTGTTTCTATGATCTATGAACGGGAAATTACCGTAAGAGATCGAAACCGGTTCCATCATTTTAAAGATGGAAATTGCTCTTGCAGAGACTACTGGTGAATCTGAATATCCAATTTCCAAGTGTTTTTCTTTCCTAGTATATTATTGAAATGCAAAATATACGGTTGGATACTGAAGGTTTTTTTGGTTCAATGGAGAGGAAAACATAAAGCCATCTTCAACCAGATTTCAGCTGACAGTCAAATGCATAAAGATTCCATTCCATACACAATGGAACAAAGTCTCCAAGACAAATTCATTATGCTAATGGAATATGAAAAAAGAAATAATGGCAAACTTATTATCATATCCAAGTCACTCTTCTAAGAACTCTAGTTCTCTGCAAATCATGACAATAACAAAAGAGCGGATGCAAACAAAAATTGCTTAAATGAAAAGGTTATACTTCAGGGGCGATCATATTCCTTCAAATTCAAGTGCCACGACCCCCTACTTCTCTGCTTTTCAATAGTTAACTACTTATCTTTGTTATGAGGCTAAACCAAAAATTCAGCTTAGGAGCATAACAATGCCTAACGATTTAAAAGTACATGAATATCTCAGTAACATAAAAACAAAGCAAATTAAAGAACAAGAAGATGGCATAGGGATTTCCTGAACAGTTTAAATAAATGGTACTCATTGATTTTGTTTGAGTAACTTCTTTTATTGACAATTATTCAAGGAAATTAAGACAAACAGAAGCCTAATTTAGTTGGTTGCTATACGTACATATTTGTCTCTTAAACATTGACAAATTGATTTACTATCCACACTCTAATACAATTCCTCTTGCAAGTCACATTTTTTCTCCGTATATAATTGTTCTAGTTTATCACAAAAATTTTGAAGAAGACCAGCTTATTCAATGTGAACTGAAGAAATGGATGAAGTAATTTCCTTGGTTCGTGGATCAGCACTCTCTAAAGAAACACCATGAGGATCTTCTCTCACTAACAAGGCCAAAACATTGAACGAACTCCAAGAACTTGCAACATGGCTTCCAGAATCCCCTAAGGTAACAGCAAATACAGCATCAAACCCACCTGCTCCAGGAACTCCAGCCAACAAAACTCCTTCCATATTCATAGTAGCATCCAAAAGACTAGTTTGTGATTCTGGTTCTATCTGAAATTTTTTGAAGCCAAGAAATCAATCAGAGAAAAAATTAAAAAGAAAAGATGAAGTATGACAATATTCTGTCTGTGAACTCAAAACGGCAACAATGCAATTGAAAAAAAAAGGGGGATTGTTGGACAATTGGACGTTAAAGTTAATTGAATTGAAAAGCTCTCTGCTATTGAAAATTTACTAGAAATATTGTCATTATTAATTAATTTTTCCTTGGTCAAACGGTAATCGGCTAAGACAAGATTATCCTCTACTCAACTTCAAAATTTGAAGTGTCAGTTCCCCAGAAAAGACACCGCTTAGGCTATGTTATTTTTCATTTTTGGAACTTGGGAATGGGTTTGCACAAAATGGGGGTGTTACAATCCCATGTGCCACGTACCCTTTGTATTGTGTCCATAAAACACTTGTATCCTTCCCATTCACTAAACTGAGAAAACCTTGCAGCAACTTCCATTAATTTGCTCCTCTCACAACACAACACGTAAGCAACTTCTATAAAATTGTGTGTATTATATCCAGTTTTATTCATCACCTAAGAGATGTATGTATCTCTGCTTATGTTTCTAGTCTACAATGCAAATAAAAATGGTTGGTTAGTTAAATAGTCATTGATTAGCAACTTCAATTATTATGAAAGGTACTATAAATATAACTGGTAATTTTTCATTTTTCCCCCAGCTATAGTGGCTGAGATAATGTGGCATTGTAAACACACCACAAAGAATATCTCTGATCTTTCCCCCTAATTGTTTTTTGGTCTTAGTTTTTAAAATAGTGTAATGGGAGAAAATGGAGAATGATGTAGAAATGACTTTTGTTAGAATGACAAGAGATAGGTTGAATGTTAAACATTTATGATTGACAACATGTTTGTGTTCAAATGATTGACATCAGGTTGCTCCCTCTTGCAATTCTAAGTAATGGCTTATTGTCTTCAGTATATATTAAGTATCAGCACCAATGTGTTTTAAGGAGTTTTTTGTTGCACACCTCAAGGCTAGGCGACAGAAGAATTGATGGTACAGCCCGTAGGTGTTAGATTACGCATTTAAACAATAGAACATAGAAGATTACAAGAGATCGAGGAGAAGAAATTATAGATCGAAAAGATGAGATAAAGGGCAGAAACAGTAGAACAAAGAAGAATATCGGAGATCGAGGAGAAGAAAATATAGATCGAAGGGACGAAATCAGAGAGTTCTAGGAAAAGGTTTACTCAACATTCAAATCTGAATTTTAAAGAACTACATGGGGGTATTTATAGCAAACTAAAACCTAGACATAGGATAAAAATCCCTTGATTGAACAGAAATCATAACCCCAATAAAATAGGAAACTTAAAACTAGAAATCTGTAAATCTAGAAAAGTAGAAAACCTACTAGAATTTGGAAAACTAGAGAATCTAGGAAACTAATAAATTTAGGTCCTACGCGTCCTGCATCATTCTGCCATAAGGCATACTCTGCATGGGGAAAAAAAAACCAAACATTTGCAGTTTCTTGCATTGACACTATTCATGATTCCCAACATTCCCAAACACTAGAAAGGGGTTCACTGAATTGTATTGATTCCTATAAAAAACAATCCATGGAATGGATTTGGAAATCCCAAGAACCTGTCCCACAAATGAAGAAGATTCTTAATGGCAGGGATTTCTGCTTAAGTCTAAGGATGCTGAGTTTAAAACTTCTTCAATGGTTTTGTTCATGATGCATAACAGAAGGCTTCATTGATCATAAAATTAAACGGAATATACTTAGGGAGACAGAAAAAACCAACTATGGCTTTTGTAGGAATCAAAATAGAGAGAAGTACAGTGACTGACTTTTTTTGTTCTTCCCAGCAAAGATAAGTACGTTGACTAAAAAAGGCATTTTTTTTTTTTTTTTTTTTTTTTTTTTTTTTTTTTTTAGAGACATTGTATTGAGAAAAAGGAAGATAAGGAATTCATCAAAGCAATATAAGAAGGAAAAGACAGACTCCACGGAGTCAAAAATAACAAAAACAAAAAACTAGAGCCACTGCCATACAACCCCCTCAGGAAGGAGTTATAAGACGACCTTACACAGTGTAGTTATTTTAAACGGTGTTGAAGTCTCTCAGGATTGTGGAATAATGGTAATCCTTAAACTCTGCAGAGACAGAAACCCACAGAGAGGCCCCAAATTTCACCCTATCCCAAAGCTCAGCAGGTCCCACCCCCTTATGATTATAAAAAATCTACAGTTACGCTCCATCCAAATGTTCCAAAATATAGCATGAACAAGGCACCCCCAGAGGACACTGGCCCTTTTTCAGTTACCCGGCAAATCCATTGTAGTACATAAAAGCTCGAAGCAGCCTTTGGGAATCGCCCAGGCAATCCAGAACTCCCGCGATAATGACCACCACAACTTGATGGTGAATGGGCGGTGTAAGTAAAAATGGGCATTCAAATAACAGTTTAATTAAATGTACCAAGTAAAGAACATTTGTTTCTAGAAAGAAAATGAATCTGTAAGAAGTAACATATTTTATCAAGTATTATTCTCCATATTAAACACCAAAGAAGACTCCAGTTAAAGAAAGCACATACCGGAACACCTGCAGCCTCACCCATCTGATGCATATGATACCTGATCCAAAGCATAGCATCTCTTGCTCCTAATAATGCTTTAATAATTGCTTCTTGGTTTGGTTTAGCGGCTTGTTGTATCCACTGTCCATCCATTTTTTAAAATTGACTCAAACATCAAAGTTGGGAAATACAAGCAAAAGGAAGTCATAGGGTAAGGAAAGTATTAACAACAATATGAAGAAGCCAAATTTTATGATGGCATGATTAGAGGAGTAAAATGGGCTACACTGGCACAAGCACAGCACGTTTAAGCTGGGCCTTGCATGACACAATCTATACTGTGTTGTTCCAGGCACAACAACACAACACAACACGACATATCCAATAAATCCAAAATGGCCCTGCGTTTTAGTTTAGGTTTTTATCATAAAAAAATTCGTGTTTTTGAGAAAAGTTGAGTCCAAGAAATACCTTCTCTGATTTGAGAATGCTGCAGCTTTTTATCAAGCTTTCATATTCATCCCAGTGTTGTTCTGCCAATTTGCTCAATGTACTGAGTTGTGTTTCAAGTGATGAATTTGCCTCTGACAACTTTCTCCATGTTTCCAAGGATTTCTGAGGGTCAGCCTTCTGCCACTTTTTCACAGCACCCACCATTGATGGAGTGCATGATCCTCCAGTTCCTGGTTCTCCAAGTAACTGTAGAAAGAAAAAGGATTAACCTTAAGTTCGTAATCCAAAGAACAAGAAAGAGCTTAATTAACAAAAAGTAAAAGCGAAAAATGTCAAGATAGATTCCCAAGTTTACAAATATGAAATGGTAGGATACAAAATTGGGAAAATATAATCTACAGTTGACTACGACACGTCTCAATACAGATCAATAAGACCGATTTAGAGGATTAAAAAGCAGTATGATACTCTTTTGCATGCATAATCATATTTACAAGTGCTGGCATGTTTAATCAGAAATAATTTATAGATCTTGACATGCTTACAAGAGTCATCAATGGTGGCAAGGAGAACTTAGTCCTCTCATGGTCCCACGTTCCTTTCAGGATTTCAAGAACGACTTCATGTAGTGGAGTTCCCTTCACTGCAACCTGAAACCATACAAACACTAAAATCACAAGTTGAAGGTATTAATGGATAGTGAGAGGCTTGCAGTTAAAAATCAGACAGGACAACCCATTATTGTCTGCTTTTTAGCGGCAAGCCTCTCATCATCAAATTATTGTAACCACAGGTAACCTGTAATCATTTCATAAGCTTTGTTTTACACTTAACTATAACATACCAAACTCCAGTTTGACAATTAGACAAACAGGACCAATGGTGTATTCGTCTGATGCAAATGGTATCCTTTAGCACACAGAGAGAGAGAGAGAGAGAGAGAGAGAGACCTGAGCAGAAGAAAGCACTTCCGGTGAAAAGCGGACATAGCGTTGACTTCCATAAACTGCAGAACTAACATCAAACCCACTGCCCACTTTTCCCTGTGCAATGCAATGAGCAGTTTGAGCTATAACATGCACCAAATCAAGATCTGCAGTGTATTTTTCATGTTGATGATCTTCAAGCACGGAGGAAAGATCAACAACTCTGAGGTAATGAAGCAAAGCAGCAACAACAGCAGTTGTCATTGCCGCAGATGAACCCAATCCAGTTTTTGCAACTTCAGGCTTACAATTTTCTCCATTTGATTCCTCAGCATTGAAGGTAATTGAGGCAAAAGGAGGTAATGCAGCCAATGCGTCCGGAGTCAATGGCAGACCACGGGCTTCAATCTAAGAGGTGCACAACCCAGCAAAATCTTGAATTAGGAATTTGGATTTAAAATGATAAAACAAGAATCCTTGAAGTTTCAGCAGCAACTGATTCTTGGAAGTTGAATGCTTTAGATTTTTAAATTATTTTATTTAGAAAGATTTACAATTTTATTCAAGAAAACTGTGGACTTTCAGTCAAAAATTAATATTGATGCTGTCATAGTATACCAAGTTGAGATATGTGTCAAATAAAAATTCAGACAACGAAGTAATAAAAAACTACAGAAATAAAAAGAGGTTAGATACCTGGTTCCGATAAGAATAAAAGTCATTGCTGCCTAAAATTGTGATATCAAGACCTGCATGACAAACCCAGTTGAATTTTCAAAGATGCAGAGTTTGTTTATCTTGAAAAATGATGGGGGAACATACAGCGAATCAAACATTACCTTGCAATAGTAGTTTTTCTAATGAATCTTTCTTGTTCTTGTCAACTGTTGCACGGGCAGCAGCTACACAGTATTGCACCGCTTGTTCCACAAAAGGGTTCTTCGAGTCACTGAAATTCTAAAGCACGTAAGGTAAGAAACACCCTAAACAATTCACCTAACGACAGAAGTATTTGCAAAGGAAGAAAAACACTCAAATTAACCACATTTAAAGCAGGCCAATCTTTCTATAATGACGATGATATAAACTGATGATTGGTGGCATTGTTCAAAAACTAATGATCATTTAACAAATTTTAATCAAAATTATAGAAACTTGCCTTGAAGAGACGTATTCAAGTGATAAATTTTTGAGGGAGAGTTTGTAGATGCTTTCTCTGGAGAGCTGAGGAGACGTCAATTTCACATCCGTCCAACCCTGAAAGACGAAACACCAAGACATCTCAATCAGATTGAGAGAGAGAGAGAGAGAGAGAGAGAGAGAGAGAGGAAAAAGACGCACCCAAGCCCAGCTATCAGGCTTGAGCTGGTGGTAAAGTGGCTTGACAATGGCGAAGAAGCGAGAATTGGTGCTGAGAACAAGGCCTGCATTGGGTCTCTCCAAAATCAGGTAACCTCCCGTCAACAACACCTTCCCCGGAGCTGAAGCAACCCTGTTTGTATTTCAACAACAATTTTCAATCAATCACAAAAATTCTTACAACAATAACAACAAATCTTTGATTCAAAATCCAAAAACTTACACGGCCTCCATTGCTCTCTCTCTCTCTCTCTCTCTCTCTCTCTCTAAAGATCGCAAAGTCAACTTGTGAAGTTTGAAGTGCTTTCTAATTTCACTCTCGGACTCTCAGCAGTTGGGTTTTGACGTTGTACCGCTGGCTGCAGCCTGCAGTGTTCAACTTCAACCTCGTCAAGCTGCCCACCAACCTTTTCAATTTTTATCACCTTTATTTTTCTTCTTTATTTTTTTTAATCTTTGGAAATTGCTTCTTTTATTTTTTAATCTCTACTCATTAGTAAAATAAAATAAAATAAGATCAATCCCATTTCCTGTCCTTTCTCACACCGGGACATCATGAAACTAACTATGAATATTTAGCCAAAAGAAAAAAGAAACTAACTCTGATGAAAAAATAAAATAAAAAATTGTGTGAGCTTAGTTTGACTAGCAAGAACTGGACATGTGATGCATTATAATTTAGTTAGCCTTTAATAATTGTTTCTCCTTGCCTCATTTATGAGAGTCTCCAATGCTGACTAAATTTCTAAAGCATGCAGGTTTGGTAACATATAGTTAAGACTTCAATGCAGGTTTGGTAACATACATTAATCCAGTTATGAAGTCTATTGGCACGCACTCTTCCACGCATGAGACTCTTTCTTTATCATGCACTCTTTTACAGAAACTTTTAGTTTGTGAAAATTGTGAGAATGTGAAGGTGGAAATGTCTCACATTGAAATGTTAGAAAACCTTGCAAGGGCTTATAAGGAATTAGCTACTCACCCTATTGCCAATTGATTTTGAGGCGAAACCTCAACTTCCTTCAGAAATATTCATTTGAACATCAACATAAAAACATATGTATTATATATAGCAACTTAAGTGTTAAATCAATTTCATGAGTTTGAAAGCAAAATCTTTCAACCAAGTGTTTTATAGGTCATGTGATTGATGTCATGGAACTAAAATCAAACAAGAGAGGAGATAAAATTCACCCATGGAGGGAGTTTTAAACATCATCCAACCATTCCACCAAGGTTAATGAAGATTAAACTCGATATTTTCTCTTTGAAAAGGTTTCCAAGTAACAACACTATGCGACCTCTAATTTTCTTCACCCCCTCAATTGTGCAAAAGAAAATGGTGAAATAGTTGGATCTCATTTTTCAGGCTTTAAGAAGGTCCTTACTGAATCGTACTCTTCTTCTGTTGTGGAGTTGGTCCATAAATTGAGGAATTTCATACCTTATGCTCTATTATAATGACAACCGAGCATTGTAGACACAAAGCTTTTCAATCATTTCATTTAGCATGACAACAGTTCTGCGACCGAACAAAATATCACCTTAGCAGCAACCAATATATTTCTTAGAAATTGGCCCATACAGGTGTAGAAGTTCAAATAATAAATAATTGTTCAAATAGCAAATGATTTCTATCGTCCTTGGAACGTCAGTAAAGGGCATGAGTTGAGGTTGATTCAGAGATGTTTCAGACTACAGACTCAACAGATATACTTCCTAAGACGCATCTTATGACACATTCTAAGCTGGCGGTGCAAAAAAGTGGATATCATTGAAAGAGTTATATAAGTAATCACCTCCGCATTACTTCAAATACACTGTACAATATCACCAACAGTGGATTAAATTACATAAAAGAAGAGGAGATGAAGTTTAAACCAAAACAAGATCCCCTTCCTGTTGATCTTCTTGTTCCTCGGGCAGCCTTCCTTCCCGATATGGCAGAAGAATACGCTTAATATCTTCTGCACTTAGAGTCTCATACTCTAAAAGTGCATTTGCCAATGCATGTAATGCCTTTTCATGCTGAAAAATGTGAAACAAGAAAAGTCAGTGAAGTCCATGATTGCCAAAAACCAAATGTGAATGCTGGCTATTCCTATAGAATACAAACCTTTTTTAGAAGGGCTTTTACACGATCATATGCTTCTCTTAACAGTTTCACAACCTGAAGAACAATTTAAACCAATTTAAATTCAAAACTAATTTCATCATAATTTAATAATAAAGACCTGAGATTCCAAGAAAATACTTCAGCATCAATACGAGATTGCATTTCGGGGCTCGGTCGATCTTTGATATGTACTGGCCCAATTGTGTTGCTCATGCCACAGCTTGAAACCTTAAACCGCAAAGTTGATAATAGCATTAAATGATTAACATAAAAGTGTATATGTCTTAGCAGAAGATGGACATCAAGAAATAATTTGTTCTTCAGTCACCAAACAATGGAAATTGTGAAACAAACATTACAAAAGTAGAGCATATATGTAATAAATAAACAGATGCGGAGGAACAAACAATGACTTCAAACACAACAATTTTATTGCTTAGACAATAGGGAAACTTGGACTATCCAAGGAAAACATAAATTTAATTAGGAAGAATATTAACTTACTTACATGAGTACCTTAATGGAATTAATACTGGATTTCTTAAAAGATGGAATTTACATGATAGGATAAAGAAAATACCATATAGTGGGCAAGCTCTGAAGCTGTGTGTAGATCACTGCTTGCTCCAGTAGTGATATGATCCTGACCGAAGATTATCTCTTCTGCCACTCTTCCTCCCATGCAGACATCAAGACGGGCTAATAACTGCCTCTTGCTAATTGATGTCTCATCATTGGAGGGGAGCTGGGTGACCATTCCTAAAGCAGACCCACGAGGCATAATTGTTGCCTTGTGAATTGGATGTGCCCCCTCGGTATTGAAAGCAACAATTGCATGACCACTTTCATGATATGCCGTGAGCTGAATGATGTGTAATTATTTTAGTAAATAACAATGCACGTTCAAACTGTAAGCATTTTGGACTTCAACTTCCTTGTGAATGATATGCATACCTTTTTCGAGTCTTCAGATATGAACATTGTTTTCCGCTCAGTACCCATAACGATCCTGTCCTTCGCAAACTCTAACTGTGTAGCAGTCAACTTCTCAGCGCCTTCAACCGCAGCTTTAATGGCAGCAATATTTACCAAGTTTGCAAGATCTGACCAAGATTACAAAGAAAAATGGAAATAAGAAAGTGGGGAGGTTCATGCCAGCAGAGACTAAAAATTTATGAAACAATTTTCTATGAAGATGCTAATTTCATATATTGAAAGGAGCCTACCTGCCCCATTGAATCCTGGTGTACCACGAGCAATAGCTTTAACGTCTACATCATCACCCAATGGTTTATCCTGTAGATAGAGCTCCAATATCTCTTGACGACCTCGCACATCTGGATTAGGAACAACAATCTGCATAATAACATTTGTTACTCTACTCTCTTTCAAAGTAAATAAAACAATTGACCAGTAAATTGATAATAAAAGCGACATAAACCTTGGTCCAAAAAAAAGGCAAGATAAACCTTAAACAGATGCCCATCAATTGATTCTGTATGAATACTGGATTCTCTTTTATTGAGTAACCTTGAAAAATTACAACAGGGGACAATTTGTGTCCTGAAAACCTGACGCCAAACTTACATAACAAACTAATGCTACAAAAGCTAAGAGACTTGAGTCAGTTCCCAGCGCAAAAACATTCCTCTGGAGTGCCATAAGACACCTCCAACTCTTTTTCCAACTCCTTGCACAAGTTAAAAGCCAATTCTAAAATTGTGTTTTTTTTTGGCAGAATTAGTGGGGGCATATATGGTAGAATTTCTTCTACCAAAACAAATGTAGACGAAACAGAGTTAAAGAAGGAAATAGTACAAAACAATGGACACAATCTCCAGTAGAGCAGAGGTCTACAGAGCCTTAAAGTACAACAAAACTAAAAACCAGTTAAGAACTAAAGGAACTAATAAACAGCTTTATTCATATTTGAAAGAGCTATCCTTAAAATGTAAGGTAATGGAAGCCCGAAGAGATTACCGAAAACAAAAAATATTCCCACAAATAAACCTGTCTCCTCAGCCCTCAGATTCTCAAAAATCCTCTTACTCCTCTCCGCCCAAATTACCCAAAAACTAATCATCACAACAAGCAAGCAGCTAGAGAAAAAATTTAATGGCGGTGGAACTATGTTGGGTAGACAACAATCACAAAGAGATGATTGAAGAATGTGGAATTATCTAGAGAAAGCTACAAACTTGTGGCTAGAATAATAAATCCAAGTCAGTGGACTTGGTGATGTCGGCAAACAATACCTATAAATATGCATGAATGTACTCATATAAGGTGGAGTTAACCAATAGAATTCCCAATCTATATGGGAGTAAAAATAGCTACCCAAACCAATCTATGTTGTGGAGCTTCTAAGAAAGAAGCTCAAGTAGCCAATAGCTACAACAATAAAATGTGGTGGCCAATGGCCACAACGGAGCCACCGAGTGAGCTACCCAACCTAAAGAGGGTGATGATTAGCCAAGAGGTAACCCACTCAAGGTGGCCAATAGCCTCAAGTTCTATGTACACCAAGCTACGTACTATCCTCCTCCATTCTAATAAAATCTTTCGTTTCAAGTATTGTCCTATACTTCCTAAACCCCTTCACCTATAAACCAACAATGGTATCAAAGCACACACTCAAAATCCAACAAGTGGTGGATCTTCCCCACAACCATAAGCTTCTACCCCATGAGGAGTCGATCTGACAAGGGGTTTGGTAGTTGAAACAGAAGAAGTGGAGATTTCATGTTTGAAGTTTGTGGATGACACAATTTTCTTCCTTTGCAAGTGGGAACAAAATTTTAGAAATTTATTGATGATTTTGGAACTTTTCAATACTATTTCGGGATTGAAGATAAATAGAAGCATGGTCTTTGACTAGCAAACCCTAGCTCATTGATAATCTGATGGGGACATCATTGTCAAACCACTTAGAGTTTATGAGAGAAAGAGATGGAAGAAGAGTAGTCATAATCCAGTTATGTCTCTGTAGCTGGATTAATTGCTCTTCATCTTCTAAAGTTCTCCATAAGAGACTTTTCATATTTCTTTGGGATTTTCTAGAGTTCTGCAATCTATTTATTTTCTTTAAAAGCTTTAAATAAGTGTCTTTAGGTTT